ACGGCAGATGATTGGTTTTATTTACTCCATCCCAGTCCTGTTCTGGAGCCGCGCTCATGTAAGACAACTGCAGACACACACACACACACACACACGAGGCTATTAGTACAGTCTACAGTCAACAGTCCACAGTCTACAGTCTCAGACACATTTACATTGTAATTGTAATTGTTTTTCCCACCAGTGTTCCAGATCTTAACAGTCTGTAGTCTACAGTCCACAGTCTACAGTCCACAGTCTCAGACATTTACATTGTAATTTTGTTTTTCCCGCCAGTGTTCCAGATCTTTAGTAAACAGTGAAGGTTGTCATGGAAACGTGTTTGACCGGGCAGGTCAACAGCAGTGATGTTCACTTCGTCCAGATCAGTTGACGTGAGAAGCATTAACGTTACATCATCAACTACAGGAGGAGGACACACACACAGAGACACAGATGGTTCACACTGAAGACACCATGTGGACGCCTCACTGCGGCGTTCCTCCCTTGGGCCGTGCTCTGTCCTAGTTTTGAAAAAAGGCTGGGATGCAGTCATGTGACCCAGGGCTTCTCATTAACAGAGACCACGGCGGCAGCAGCGGCGGTGGAGGCGGGGCCGTAACGTGTCCCCGATGTGAAAAGAAAAGTCTTGCGCATGTGCGCACGATCCCTGGAATTGGATCCTGAATTCTACGACCTTCTACAGCCTCGGCAAACATACGGCCCGTGGGCCCAACCCGGCCCGTTTGTGGGTTTAATCCGGCCGGCTTGATGAATTATGAAAGTAAAAATCTAATCTACTAAAACATGGACCTAATGAATTATCTGATGACTGTACTGGTCCGGCCCACTAACTAGGCTGTATCTGGTACCTGAACCAAATGAGTTTGACCCCCTGACTTCAGTGGTCAGTGACAGATCACTGACCACTAGTTCTGACCGATTCTTCTTCATTGGTCGTAAATGTCACCAAAGGTTACATTATTAACCAACTCATCAGCTGTCACGTGTCTCGTCAGACTGTGAACACTGTACTGTTAATGAAAACATAAATCCTGGCTCAGGAAGGTCAGGGATGTTAACAGCGCCCCCTGGAGGCCACTCTACAGTTCCACAGTTATTGACAGTTTCTCTCTCTCTCTCTCTCTCTGACCTGTGTCTGGCTCCTCCTGTTGTTGCAGGGTTTCATCATCGTCTTGCACCATTCTCCTCCTGGTGGTGAACTTTCAGAAGACGTGCACAGACACGGACCATAACTACGGTATCAGAGAACAGTCTGATCTCTGTCTGTGAAACATTCATCAGTTTGTTCCACCAAACCTGGTCCAGGCCAACTGACCCGTGTTCAAAAGGTTGGCTCTGGGCCTGGATTTGGAACATGGAACAGAGACTTAATCAGGAACTAGAACTAAGTAAACTGTACTGTGTACAGTTACACAGACGTACGTCCTCGTCAGAGGTTAGCACCAGGAAACGTTAGCACCAGGAAACCAGAACCAGCGCGCTAACAGTGGTTTGTTCACAAGGGCAAAGGAGCAGGATGCTAATGGTGTTTCTAAAAATAGACCCAAACACCTTCAGTCTGGGAGTCAGCGGGAAAACAGCTCTTCATTAGTCTGTGCGTGACCTTGGTGAGCTGCAGGAAGGTCGCACCCAGAGAGCGACAACCGCCGTCGCTGCGACACCAACTCACGACAACGCAGAGAATAAAAGACGCAGAATCGGAGTCGTCCGTGGAGATAAAGTCTGAACCGATTCATTTAAAGAACGCCGATGAAGAACCCACGCTGATGGAACAGGTCTGACCTCAATGCAGATCAACCCCCGTGATCACATGACCCGACCAGTGGTTCTACAGTAAGAAACAGATCCAGAGTCAAACGTGGAGGTGGACAGCGGTTCTCAAAGTAGGGGACAGGCTCCACCTGTGGGTCAAAGGAGAGGACACCTGGTGACAACATAACACCACGCCTCCACGTCCGACAACAAGGACTAGAAGGATGATCTGAGCTGCGACGTCAGACCATTCACTCGGTTCTGAATGGTCAACACTCTGGTCTCCTGACGTCGTGGCGTCTCTGGAGAGATTCTCTCTGTCCTCCGTCTTCACAGGCGCTGAGGAATTTCTGTTTTTAGTAATGGTGCCTCGGCCTAAATCAATCATTTCAATGTGAACCTGGCCTCCTTTTCTTCCCTTCAGCTCCACAGACACCTCCTCCTCCTCCTCCTCCTCCTGCTCCTCCTGCTCCTCCTCCTCCTCCTCCAGCTCCGTCCTTTTCATCTGCACTTGTTTTCCAGGCAGTAGAAGCAGAGCGTAACGATGGAGGAGTGGTTATGGAAATAAGAAATCTCCATCGTTTATACCAGGCTGGAGGATTTAATAACCAGCTTCCTGTCGTCCAACGTCCAACGTCCAACGTCCAAGGTCAAGGACTCATCGTGGTCGACACAACTGGAAAATAATTATGGATTTTTGGAGCGATGTTTAAATCTTTTGCTGTAGCTTAGCAACACTGTAAATAAGTGACATGTATTTGTGACAAATGGTGCATGCTAACAAGGCTAACAAGGCTAACAAGGCTAACAAGGCTAACAAGGCTAACAGGGCTAACAGGGCTAACAAGGCTAACAAGGCTGGGTTTTTAGCCAAGGTGATCCATTAAGACACAATATAAGATTTTTTTTTGTTGAATCCATGTTTGTTATTTTATGGCCTTGTGTTTTTTCAGACTAAATGAACCTCAGACTCATGTTCATCTCTGCTCGACTCTCAGACTCATGTTCATCTCTGCTCGACTCTCAGACTCATGTTCATCTTCATCTCTGCTC